TCCAGAAGGCGCTTAAGAATTTCAAAGCGGCAGAGAGACATCACACCAGGGGCAGGGGGTCTCTGGGAAAACTCACATCACTTCAAGCACAGGTGGGAGGTGGCGACTGCAGCGGTAAAATAACATTCACTGGTACAGGACAAGGTCAAGATAGATTTAGATTTAAAGTCTGGAGATTTTATTTATGGAAATAAATGTGATGTGCTTGTGTTGGAACTGTGCACTTCTGTTTTGAGTTCAGCACTACTTACCACATAAATAGAAAATCAGTCAATTTCCATTTCAGTCAGATCAGTCAAAAATTGATTTTTTTTTAGTTATTATTCAGTTTTAATCAACAATGCAAAGCCAGTCAATCAAAACTGGGCTATTCAATTTTATTTTACACAGGTCTTGATGTATTTTATTGCGTTTTTGCATTTTTAAGAATTAAAACTACATTTTATTGGTTAGAAATGTATTTATTCATTTACTTATTTAGAAATCTATTTGTTTAGGATTTTTTATTTTATGTATTTTTATTTTTCTGTTTATCTATTTATTATGTATTAGAAATGCTTTTATGTATTTATTCTTTTTATTGATTACAATTATTCATTCATTTATTAGAAATGCATTTATTTATACATTCATTCAATTTATTTATTAATATTTTTTAATTCTCCCTAACATATAGTATTGTGTATCTGAAGTACGAGGTAGAAGGAAAGTTCTTTTGAATCACAGAAAGTCATGAATGTTGGACAGTATATCTTTTTTATTAAAAGTGCATTTATTTATGCATTCATGTTTTTATTTATAAAAATTATTTTGGGATTTATTAAAAATGTAAAAATATTTTCTGCTTTTGATTAAATGCTTGCTCTCTCAGAGTAACGCCTCTTTTTGTGAAGTGTGTAGCCTGTAATGTGTCAAGTTTTTGTTTAGACAACTGACTTTTACCATTTATGGCCTCATGGGAACTCAGGAAGACAGTTATTTTTAATACGGCAAATTATACAAGTTTAAAAGATTTTTAACAGTTTTGTTCAACAGTTTTACATGCAAAATGTGCAAATGACGATAATAAAACAAAAATTCTGCAAAATTGTGGTTTGATTCATGTACTTTTAGATTAAATATCGATGGTTGTATATCCGGTTGTTGTTTTCTTCTCTGAGGTGTAAGGCCTGGGCTTGTGGATTACGGCTTCAGTGTGAGTAGCTCTGAGGAAATGGTTCCCAGACCACAACGTGTCACTTTTTGCTCCTTCCTGCCCGGTGCTGACCTGAAATAATTAGATTTAGACTGGTCCCAGACAACACACACATTTCAGACAAGATCAGAAGAACTGACTTCTGTGACTTTGCTGATGAAATAAAGGATGAGAAAGTTCTAAACTCTGAATATGATGCCAAAAGCCGTCGAATGGGATTCCAAATATACAACTGACACAAAGGTCATGATTTCTGCATTTAACACGGCCTACTAGATTAAAGAATACAGCAAACTCACACAATACAAAACCAAACAACAAACAAAAACATTAAAAAACCACAAAGTGTGCGCTTAACTCATTAAACATGTCACTGGTCACTGTTAATTCACTGAAATGTGGATTTAGAGTCTCAGACCTCCCTGCAAATGAGTTCACTTCTTCCTTTTCAAAGCGTTCTTAGTTTTTCCGAACGCATCAAAGGTTGATTAGCACATTAATGTGAAGTGTTTTTCTTGTCCTGCTCGGTTAAATGTTGATTTGAGGTAAACAACTAAATTGTCTAAATCCTTTCCTCCCAGTGCTTTGTAAACTGCGTATTGAGCTCCACGTTAGCATATCAGTCACAGGGTCAAGGGTATCTAAAGCAGAGTCCTAGTTCTAATTAGCTCAGCATCTAACACCTCGGCACGGTCCTGAAACACATGCAGCAGGCCGACCCCTCACGCATTAGAGGATTATGAAGATAAGGATGCATGAAATTCAGGCTTTTGAAGGGATCATCCACCCCAGACTATGAGGTGCGAGAGGCTCTTTTTTGTTGACGTGGAGTTCATTAAGAAAGAGCTTCTATTTGCACAGGCCTGATTAGTACTTGGATGATGGTAAGGCCTTTGTGCCCTGGCACAGCTTGAATGGGTTGTGGAATATCATGTTATGTCTTTTGTTTTATTTATAGAGTTTATGATATTGAATTTAGCTACAGGGAAAACCTGTAATCTGTATTTTTTTTAAGATAAAAAAAGAGATAATATAAATATAATATATTCACAAACTACAAATAAATAATAATAATGATATATTTTTCTTCTTCTTTTCTCCTTATTATTATTATTATTATTATTATTATTATATGAATATTTATTCAATTATAATAATATTTTATTTTTAAAAATCTGAACATTTATACAAGTGGACTGATTTGAGTTTTTCAATGTTCAAAATCAGGGGCCAAATATATCAATGCAATTTACATTTAATTATGTAAATGAGACATTAAACATGCTGACATTGAACAAATATTTATTTAGCATTTCCTAAAAAATAAATTTGCTAAAATAATTAAAATAGATGAAAGTAAGGCGGACGGAACAACCATATTTGTTGATAAGAATATATTAAAAAAAATTTAAGGGGGTCTGAATACTTTCCGTACCCACTGTATATATATAAATATTTATATATATTCATATATATATATATATATGAATATATATGGCCAATGATTCAGCCAATTATTAATGCCTATTTTAGCATGCTTGGAGAGAAAAATGTTCGAATATTGTATTTCATTGTAACTTTTATGTCTCATTTAGTTAGTTTGACCACCAGAGGGTCTCAAAGGGGAAAATTAACCACCAGAGGGCCTCTAAAAGAGATTAAATATTTTACAAATATTTTTTTCTAAATAATAAAAAAACATAAATCAAATGTAAATTAAATGCATGTGAATGAATTTTGTGAATGAAAATGGTAAATATTATTTGCAATGTACACACAGTATATTCAAGAATACTTGAATCTGTGTTTTTCTAGCCCTTGTCGCCTTTAGCTTACCTATGTCTCTTATATTGTAATATTGGGAAGAAAAAATATATTGTTGACAATAAAAAAGTATTTTCCAGATAATAATAATAATAAATAAAAATGTGCATAATGACAAATACAATTCAATAATATAATTTTTGATGAACGAACATGTCTTTACAATAACACACAATATATCAGAATTAATATTATATAATTTTCTCACAATATATATAAAAATATCTAGCTGCCTTTATATTTTAGAAGGTGCAACCCTCAAAAAAAGGCATCATAATATTTTAACCCCATTTTATCTTCTTGCAATTGTCAGTGCTGGTTAATTGTTAATAAATGCTCCATATTAAATTGACTTTATCTACTGGAATCTGCTGTTCCTGTGAATACTGGCTGCAAAAGCCTATTAACAGGATCCTGAGTGTAATTTATATGTAAATGACTGAGGAGAGACTCAAAGCCTGTCTTTGCAATTTTTGAACATTCCAGCTGATCTTATCATCTTTTTTTCTGTCAGGGGTAATGTAATCGGTCAACAGGATAGGTAGAATTGCATTGTATTATCAAAGAATACAGATGAATCTGAATCTGGAAGAAATGCAATGAAAGCAGCCGGTCTTTTTGAGTGTAACTCACATTGCGGTAACATCAGGTATAAAGTATACAACAGACGATAAAGGCAGAACTATAAGAGATTATTTGCTTTTGTTCAGGACAAAAGTGGCACAGTGTGTCAAGAGTTACACCCCATTTTATCTTCTTGCAATTGTCAGTGCTGGTTAATTGTTAATAAATGCTCCATATTAAATTGACTTTATCTACTGGAATCTGCTGTTCCTGTGAATACTGGCTGCAAAAGCCTATTAACAGGATCCTGAGTGTAATTTATATGTAAATGACTGAGGAGAGACTCAAAGCCTGTCTTTGCAATTTTTGAACATTCCAGCTGATCTTATCATCTTTTTTTCTGTCAGGGGTAATGTAATCGGTCAACAGGATAGGTAGAATTGCATTGTATTATCAAAGAATACAGATGAATCTGAATCTGGAAGAAATGCAATGAAAGCAGCCGGTCTTTTTGAGTGTAACTCACATTGCGGTAACATCAGGTATAAAGTATACAACAGACTATAAGAGATTATTTGCTTTTGTTCAGGACAAAAGTGGCACAGTGTGTCAAGAGTTACATGAAGAGGAAGAGTTATGCGCTATAATCATTGCCTTGCAGCTGCATGTGGCTGTAAAATTACATGCAAAATTACTCCAATCTAATGGAGCCTATAGACATTGCCTTACAACAAAAGCAAACGGATTCATTTCATTTCTCCTTAGTGACTCATCCAGAATATGTTTCAGATAGCATTATATTACCATTACAGTCTTTATTAATATTTTGAATTAGTTTTTATTTTGATGTTTTCAGTTCTCATTTTAATGTTAGCCAGTGTGTTGGTTGTGTATTTTTGTCATTTGTATAATAATTTTTTATTCATTTTGAATTTAGTTTAGTTTAATACAGTACGTTAGACTAAATGAAAATGAGAAAATGTAGGCCTATATATATTTATATTTATTTTATTTAAAGTACTAGTTTTTATGGTTTTAGTTTTAATTTTAGTTTCAGTTAACTATAATAACCCTGGTTTGAGAATATATAGATAATCGAACACTTATTAAAATAAGCTGCAAGAATGCTCAACAGTGAAGACCTTTTTATTGTTATCTACTGATAAATAAACAAAATCTTAAAGTTAAAAGTTGATACACAAAATCAAAACTTTGACATTTAGATGTTTTTATTATAAATATCAATAAATTAGTATAAATTTTCTACAAAAACGATAACATACAAAATATATAATATTAAAATAGAAATCTTAAAATAAGATAAAACAATATATTAAAATACATTAAATACTGTACAGTGGCATCCACAAAAAAACATTTAAAGAGTTTTAAATATATGAAAAGTCCGATGAGAGTTTCATCCCCAGAACTCCGGTGCAATCGGACAGCGGACAGCTTTGTTGTAGTCCTAAAAAGAGAGGGGGAAATGTAAGTTTGGTTTATTCAGCATTTAGAAACCAAAATATTCACCTTTAAAAAAAATTCATTAATAATAAAAAGCTAACACAATATGCATTCCACATATTCAGAATTCTTCATTTCAAATATATAAGTGCTAAACAAAGTACACACCTGGTATGTTGGGGCTGTATCTGCATACAAAGGGCCTTCCAGAAGAGATTCGGAGCTGGAGTTGAAGGAATCATCACAAGCAGGTGTTTCCAGGCTCATGCAGACCTGATGACAATCCATTTCTGTCTTCCTCAAGACATGCACTGAAGGTCTGAAGGTGCTTTGAGACAGTTCTTGATGTGATGTGCTGAGCCCCCAGTACTCTGGAGTTGAATAGCCCTGACTTTGAGGTGATTCTTGGTATCTAGGAGCTCTCAGGTCCCTCATCTGGCAGAGAGACTCCTCACTGAGGCCTAGTTGAGCAGACAGATAGGAGATGTAGCGGATGGTGAGGCGAAGGGTCTCGATCTTCGTCAAGGTTTGGCCGACAGGAGCCACAGAAGGAGGTAAGTAAGTCCTGAGGTGGTGGAGAGCTTTGGTCAAATCCCTCATTCTGAGCTTCTCCTTCTCGCTGGCGCTCTGTCTTTGCTTGCTCGGGTTTTTGGAGCGCATTCTTCTAGTCCCAACACGGGAACGTGAGCCGTCCTGATGTAAGGAACCCGTCATGGGAGCCTTTGCACCTCCGGGAGGAGGAGAAGAACTGTTCAGAAGCTGAGCTGAAGGAGAGAAGTCCATGTAGGAAGTAGGAGAAACTGCTTCAGGAGATGAGATGTTGTAGAATTCAGAGTCTGAACTCGGGCAGCTCCAGGAGTTTTGTGTGAAGTAGCTGAAGAAAGGAGAAAACACGTCCATTCTGTGTGGTTTGAGAGTGTCAGTGATGCCGGAGGGTTTGCTGGAGGGAGGCTTTATAGTAGCCTCGGGCCTCAGAGGTGTGAAGTGACACCTCTGCAGGCCTCTCCAGCCCGCCGCTGTCTGTCCCAGACTGTCTCTCTCTACAGAGAGAGAGGGAGAAGTCCAGTCCCGATGTGGGAACCTATGCAGATATGAGTCATCAGGTAATGTGTGATTTTTCACTCCTACCCAACATGAACTTTTTTTCTCCCCCTTCACTACTGTTTTTAACATCAAGCCCTCCAGTGCTATTTGGATTATTTTCAATCCATAAATAGAAACTCAGTAAACTGATACACTAAAAAATAAATATACTAAACTTGGCAAATAAAAAAAAGCAGACTTATTGCTTAATATTCAGAATTTAATGTAATGTTGTATATATAATAATATAATATATAAAGATTTACTGCATATTAATTAGAATTTCTCATGAAGTAAAAAAAAATAAAGCAGCCAATAAACATGATGGCATATAATACTGTATGTAATACAGAATAATATAAATTGTAAATATAGTATAAAATAAAATAAGAATGATATTTTAAGCAAATTTATCATAATACAAATTTCCAGAGAAATTATTTAAATTATATTATGAAATTGTATTTTATTGTATTCAAACATATTAAGTAAAATAAAAATGTGTTGTATTTACATTAAATATTAGATATAAATATATCATATTGTGCATTATATAAATACTATATAAGAATAATACAAAAAATATAAATATGATTTCAAACGTTTTATCATTAATCCAAATTTCCAATTAACATAATAAATTACTTAAATTACGTATGATAATTGAATATATTGCAATCGGTTTTATTATATTGAATTATATCAAAACAAATGTTTATATACTATTTATATAACAAATTGATCATAAATATATACAAATTATATATAATAAAATATAAAACAATATTTCTGTCCTACAGTCAACTTTGAAAAACATGTCAACTTCGAATAATTACTCACATAATTTTATCGAACAAAATGATCACATGCTTTTGAAAATTAAAAATGAAACAATAAAATACTTTTTTAATGTCAAATAAACATGGCAAAAATTATTCAAAGAAAGTACACAAATGCAAAGTTTGATATACACTGATAAACACATAAAGGATAAATCTATACCCTGTTTCTAAGAAACCAAGCTCCAGATGATGATGTGCGGTCAATAGGTCACAGTTGTTTGGGGACAGAGACTCTGGTCATTCTCTCACAGCCAAGGTGTTAAACGACACCTCTAATGGGTCACATTAAAGGCAAAAGCACTGCTCTGTTGTCTGTGTGAACCGTTAATGGAATTTCACACCACACATGTAGCCTAAGTGAGCTAAGGAGGCTAGCTAAACAATATTAAGAGCCATCACACTAATACACCGTCACTGAAAAGACATTTGAAAAAAATAAATAAAGCCTATTGATATGTAAGCTGCAAAATGCTTTTAGATTCTTGCATTATGAACTTTTTAAACTTAGATTAGCATTAGCATGGCATCGATTAGCATTGTGTATTACAACACGTGCTGCTAGTCACAAACGTATAAAACGGCTGAACATTCAAATTTTATTCCATGGCAGAAACTGGCATCCATATTCAGGTGTACAGATTTCATTCTTGTGCATGTACTGTTCATAATTTGTTTTTTAAAGAAAACAGTAATATAGTATGCATGCACGGCTTTGTTCATTGGTTACAAAGGTGACAGCTTCATAAACTTTAAAGGGATAGTTCAGCCAAAAACTAAAAATCATGTCATTATTTACTAACCTTCATGTTATTCCAAACCTGTAAGGCTTTATTGCTTCACAAAATAATGTTTTTTAGGACATACAATGGAAGTCAAAGGGGTCCAAAAACAATATTGTATAGACATTCTTCAAAATATCATCTTTTGTGTTAGGAAAGTCATGCAGGTTTCGAACGACATGAGGGTGAGTAAATCATACCAGAGATTTCAATTTTTCGTGTACCGTTCCCTTAAGAGGCCTATAACCAGCTCATGAAAACTAAAATGATACAGGTTACCAAATGACTAGTATGGTCTAATCAGTTTTATTCGCAGTGAGACATACATTACATCATCCAGACAACACATTGAGAAAAGCCACAACATTACTTGGTAAATTACACACATGCAACTCAGTCAACAGCATGTACAGATATGTGGCTCTGTGAAGCTCAACTCCAAAGTGACCAAACCGTCCGACTTTTTCAGGATTCACAGAATGCAAAATAATTAAATAAGAGGGTGATAGAGAAAGAGAGTGAGAGAGCACAAAGAAAGAAGGAAAAGGTAAGGTAAAGTGAGGTGAGCTTTGTAAGGTGCTCCGCCAGATTGAGCAATTTACAGGTAATAAAGCAAAAAATAGAAAACGGAGGAAGCACACGTAACGGTTTCTGGAGTGACGCAACAAACACAAGCACACATTCTGCACCGAGCATCCGAACGCACAGCGACACATTGAGATCAGTCTCTTGACATATAGTAGGACACTTGCAAACACCAAGACAAAAATACACCTTTTATCAGAGGAGGTTACATCATAAGCAAAGGCAGAGGGTGAGACGATAGCAAATTACAAGCTATAAGATAAAAAGAAAATCTTCAACAGTACCTGAATTTTCTGACCAAGAAATGGCACAGGATTGAAACTTCCATGACTCTGATTACCCCATCCAAGCAAATCTGGGACAAATTGTATTTTTCACTGGAGGTTTTTCTCTGTAATACTCACTGTAGATTTTTCTGAAACTATATAACTAGTGCAGATATTTTTTGGGGCTCCAAATGACCCAACAGGCCTTTAACTTACTGTATATGACATATCAGGCATATCTATGCAGACTAGGGGTAGCTCCATCATTTGGTCCTTCTAGTTTTTGAATATTAGAGTTTAATATCATATATTATGAGTTTAAAAGTATTTTTTTCCCTTGAATAAGCCCAATTTTACACATGCCAGCAGTTGTTATCTCCACACTAATAGTTAAAAACAACGGCTTGGACCAAACCTTCAGCTTCAAATTTTCACAGCAAGACCTTCTCTCTGGTCTCAGGCAGTTTCAGGGCCAACACTCCGCCAGCAACCAGAGCAACGAAGGACAGCAGAATGGGGATGACTTTGGTACCTTTTATCAGAGGAGGTTACATCATAAGCAAAGGCAGAGGGTGAGACGATAGCAAATTACAAGCTATAAGATAAAAAGAAAATCTTCAACAGTACCTGAATTTTCTGACCAAGAAATGGCACAGGATTGAAACTTCCATGACTCTGATTACCCCATCCAAGCAAATCTGGGACAAATTGTATTTTTCACTGGAGGTTTTTCTCTGTAATACTCACTGTAGATTTTTCTGAAACTATATAACTAGTGCAGATATTTTTTGGGGCTCCAAATGACCCAACAGGCCTTTAACTTACTGTATATGACATATCAGGCATATCTATGCAGACTAGGGGTAGCTCCATCATTTGGTCCTTCTAGTTTTTGAATATTAGAGTTTAATATCATATATTATGAGTTTAAAAGTATTTTTTTCCCTTGAATAAGCCCAATTTTACACATGCCAGCAGTTGTTATCTCCACACTAATAGTTAAAAACAACGGCTTGGACCAAACCTTCAGCTTCAAATTTTCACAGCAAGACCTTCTCTCTGGTCTCAGGCAGTTTCAGGGCCAACACTCCGCCAGCAACCAGAGCAACGAAGGACAGCAGAATGGGGATGACTTTGGTAATGCCTACGAATGAGGCAAAGATTGAGCTTCCCAATATAGCCGCAAACTTACAAATGGCATTTAAGACTCCAAATGCTGTGGCTCTGTAAGAGAAGTTGAGACCAGGCAGTGAAAAGACAGTATGTGTTTTTACATGTACTGTACAAGTTCAGTTGTGCTAAAGCAATTTGTATGAAGCCCGTTTTTTTTTTTTTTTTTTTTGTGAAATCAGACTGATAATATGATTGCAACTCAGCTTCGTTTAGCATGTATGTTAACAATTGGCCTGGACATAGTATCTATGCTCCGAAAGCAACATGCAATTACACACCAGTGTTGTTATTAACTAAAACTATTGACTTGAAATAAATCGTATATATACTGTATATAACAGAAAAACACAAACTTAAAAAAAAAATTATTAAATTGACAAATGTTGCCTTGGGAACTAAGCTGAACTAAGCTGAAGTACTAAAATTACTTAAACTTAAAAATGAAAATATAAAAAAATAATAAAAATACAAAAGAACACATCAAATTACTAAAAACTTATATTAAAATGTAATATAAAATATAAAAAAAGCTAATTAAAAAATGAAAAAATGTAAAATAAAAAATTCTTAAAATGGTATATTAGTTATACCTTTTCGAAGTTGGGTAGAGTTCCACGGTGATGACTTGAATGCCATTCCACGCTGCTACGCTAACGCCGCAAAACAGACACTGCCAGGCTATGATGGCTGCCTGACTAAAGCTCAAGAAAAGAAAAAAGGTGCAGCCAGCAGAAATAAGCATCGAACCCCCTGCAGAGAGAAGAAAATGTTTTTCACAGGCTCTTCTTAGTTAGAAACAAGCCACTTAGATTGGAAGCTACTAGATCTAAAAAATAAAGATAGCATCTCTGAAAAAGTTTTGCAGCCATCTAGGTAGCAGTTCAACTCACCTATAATCTTGATTCGTCCAATCTTGTCCATGAAGAGTGCTGAGATAATATTTCCAGGCAGCACAGCTAAGCTGCCTAAGAAGCTGACCAAGTAGATGAGGACATCGTTCTCCTCCTCATTGTCTAAATGGCATCCCTTCTTGTTGTGCAGGAAAGTGACATTCTCTAATGTACAGTCAATGAACTTTTCCTCATATAAGTCTGTGGAAATAAAGAAACCATGAGGCCTGGTGCACTAAAACAACTCTGGATTGTGGGTAAGATCTCTTACCTGTGTCATAAAACACAGTACTGCGGATGGTGCAGTTCTCAAAGATGGTGTCTGTGGATCGGATGTCCTCGAAGTAGCAGTCCACAAATAAAGAGTCTTCAAACTTCACAGACTTCATCTCAATGTTGATGAACCTGCATGAAAGCACACAGCACACGTTGAGATACTACTATAGCCTGACAATTAAGAGAAGAATTTGTGGATAATGGATGTCGCAGATGGCGTTTTTGTCAGCGTACTTGTCATTGATGTATTCTCCCTCTTTATGGACTTGGTTCTCCAAAGAGAAGTTGAAATGAAATTGCTCCACCTTCTCCCGATTAAATACTTTGACCTTGGATTCATACTCCTCGTGCTGGAGGTGTTTGATCATGTCAGGAAACCACACCGATAGCCCGTAAAAACTGAAATATACCACAAGAAAGAGAAGCAATGAAATGTTTAGTTTAGTAGTGTGAAAACTCCACCAGTGGGGCCAGTTTGGAGGTGGAACTATCTGTTTTTCCAACCAATGTGTTGCAATTCCATTTGCTGACACTAGAGGCACTAAAGTTACACACTTTAACTAAAGAAGAGTTTAATAAAATAGTCAATGCACCAGTGTTTCAGGACACAAGAATAATTAGTAATTAGCAAAAGGGGTTTACCTAAATGCCATTGTGAACCATATGATGGCCATTAGCAGAGTAGCGAGTCTTAGATCAGGACCGAAGAGGGACAAAACATTTTTCATGACCTGCACACAAAAACAGCTTATATTAATATTAAGTATTGAAGAACATAAAGTCAACTGAACTGTGAGCTTTATGGTGTACCAGCTTGGTCAGTGTCAAAGTTCGAACCACCCATCTCTGGAAAGCAGTTCCAGTTGCAGTCTGAATCTCAATAAACTCATCTTCCTGTGTCTTTGGAGTCTTGATTTGAGTTACCTGGATAAAATGATTCATTATCCATGAGGCATTATGATAAAAAAAAAAATCTTCACCACATTACATGATGTAGACCTAAGACAACATTTATTACATATTACTCCAAACATCAAATCAGCTCCTGAAAAACATTAAACTTACAGTAAACACTCTCTCAGGTTCTCCTTTGGCTCTCCAGTTGGTGTCATGAACCTGTTTCAGGATCATCCAGGCCTCATCATGTTTAGCATTCTGGAAGAGATGGATATTGTTTTCTCATAGCTGTGTGAATATTACTCATAATGGCTTGATTTGTGAGGTACATACACTACTGATAAACAGTTTGGGGTCTGTATGATTTATTTTTATTTTTTAAATAATTTAATACTTTTATTCAGCAAAAATGCATTAAATTAATCAAAAGTGACATTAAAGACATTTATAACGTTACAAAAATGTATTTCAAATGAAAGCTTTTGAATGAATATTTGTGTGTGCTGTGTAGTTTTATGCTTATTAGAGTATCACTTGGTTAACAACATGCTGACGTCAAACTCAATTTTGAATTGTTTGGCATAAGTTTTAGGTGGCAATCAGATTTGTGTGGCGCAAGTTGTTGTCTATGAAGAACCTTATGAGGTACCACAACATGTTATGATGCTATCTTAGAAAGCAGCTGTTTGTGTAGGCAGTAGGCAGCAAGTCAGCTCACTAGGTGTTGGAACAGCGCTATTGTATATTTCAGATATGTACCTCCAGTAGGAAGCGTGGGCTCTCAGGCATGAACATTAGCCCAAGAAAAGCTGCTATAGCTGGGAGAGCACAGACCAGAACAAACACTCTCCAGCTGTGGAACTGGAACTCTGTGCCCATACTGAAACCCCAGCCTAAAAATATTGCAAAACACAATCAACATGTAAAAACAAGGGGAAAAAGGAGCTTTATCCATATACCACTCTACATATTCAAGGTATATGCATGTACCATATCGAGGGATGATGCCCCAGGCGGTGAAGGAAGCGTAGATGCCCCCCATCATCCAAAACATGCAGAGCCAGCTGAGATGTTCTCCTCTTTTATCCATCTGCAGGAACTCAGAGAAGTACGCATACACTATTGGAACGGAGCCCCCAATCCTGCAAGACAACACATGGCCGCAGTTCTCTTACAACGCAGTTATTCCTATCTGCAAACTTTCATTACCTCGTTCTTGTCCACAAAACCTGTAAATGGCCATGAGAGCATATTGACGAGATCTTTAATGTCATGATGTAGTCTTAAGGGTATTATAGTTTGAAAATATGACCAGAGGCAGCTAGATTGAGAGTTCCCCATGAATCAGTCCTGTAATTACCACCCAGCATTGCAAGGTATGGGCTCTCAGGCATGAACATTAGCCCAAGAAAAGCTGCTATAGCTGGGAGAGCACAGACCAGAACAAACACTCTCCAGCTGTGGAACTGGAACTCTGTGCCCATACTGAAACCCCAGCCTAAAAATATTGCAAAACACAATCAACATGTAAAAACAAGGGGAAAAAGGAGCTTTATCCATATACCACTCTACATATTCAAGGTATATGCATGTACCATATCGAGGGATGATGCCCCAGGCGGTGAAGGAAGCGTAGATGCCCCCCATCATCCAAAACATGCAGAGCCAGCTGAGATGTTCTCCTCTTTTATCCATCTGCAGGAACTCAGAGAAGTACGCATACACTATTGGAACGGAGCCCCCAATCCTGCAAGACAACACATGGCCGCAGTTCTCTTACAACGCAGTTATTCCTATCTGCAAACTTTCATTACCTCGTTCTTGTCCACAAAACCTGTAAATGGCCACGAGAGCATATTGACGAGATCTTTAATGTCATGATGTAGTCTTAAGGGTATTATAGCTTGAAAATATGACCAGAGGCAGCTAGATTGAGAGTTCCCCATGAATCAGTCCTGTAATTACCACCCAGCATTGCAAGGTTTAAATTAGAAGTTGAGGCGAGGGAGAAGGGCTTAAGCCTGGACATGCTTGATTTACAGAAGGGCTCAACCTCTAATGGAAAACAATGACTTATTGTCATGCAATTTTATGGCTTCTGAGGTGGAGGGCAGATTTTGCTTTGATATACCACTCCTACTCTTTCTACTTTTCTCCAGCTTACCCAATTCCAGAGAACAGCCTGAAAAACAGGAAGAAGCCGTATCCCTGTGCGAATGAGGAGAAGAAGGCAGAGATGCAGTTCATGGCCAGGACGATAATCAGACATTTCCGTCGACCGACTTTATCAGCCAGGCCACCCCAAATAAATGCGCCGAACATCATTCCCAGGAAAACGATCAAACCTGTAGAAGAAAAGATAAACCACGTGAGACAGACTGACATACAGTAGTTATATTTACATAATATTTAAATTTTATAATATATAAAATCAAAAAATATATATATTATAAAACATTTTAAGTACACATATTTTACCTCTCCTCTATTTTACAGTGCCTCTAGGGGGCATTCTCTCCCTCTTTGTTAGTATGCATCAAGTTTCTCATCACCCCAAAATAAATTTACTGTGCAGTGTTTACTTTCAATCACTCTTCTCTAATGAGATTCAATAGAGTCTACATGTGTTTTTAAATGACATTGAAATATGTAAGATCAGAACTCAAGCAACCACAATCAATTTAAGCTAATGTAGTCTCGGAAATGGAGGGAAAGGAACGTCAAATCAGCAGTCACAAGGTTAAGTGATTGCAATAGAAGATTTTGCAGTCCTGGTCAGTCTTAATGAGTGCGAGTGGGTGTTCAGAAACTATAGCAGGACTCACAGGTGTGCAATTTGGCTGACGTAACACGTTTAGTGAATGTACCTGTCAGTGGGGTGCTCACTTACGAGAGCAGTGAAAGAGTTGGCATTCAATTTGAACCTTTGTGCAAATGTTGTACAATGACAGTGGAAGCATGTTATTATTATGCCAGTAGATTTACTGTTTTTTTGAAGGGCAAGATTATTACCATTATACGGTTTAATTGTAATCATGATTTAACATTAAAGCTATTTTTTAGCTCAAACGTTAGCAAATGGCTCTAGGGTTAACTTCCCAGGGAAACGCATGATCTTTTCACATAAGTTGCTTTGGATAAAAGTGTTCACCAAATGAACAAACATTACAGTTATACTTCAGACTTATTACATCCAGAAATCACAGAATCCCTGTCATTGTTAAGATCTGCAAGATTTTGAACAAATACCGGACTCATATTTTTTTTATTAAATATTTAATATTGTTAAATATTTAACAATTAAATATCAATGTTATATTGATAATATAAATATTAAGCATTTATTAAATTAAATCATTTAATATAAATATTTTATCTAATTCTATTATGCTTTCGGACAACATTAAGAGTAATGTAGTACTCTCAGTTGCTTTTAACTCATTTTATCAAACCAATTCTGCATAATTCTGCAGATTTACCCCTTAAAACTATAGTGTTGCACAGGCATGAAGCATGAAGGCCTGGCGTAGAGTACAGATGGTCATGTGGTGAAGGGAGTTTGGTGTAAGACTAGTGTGAGAGTGACAGCGCCGTCCTCTATGAGCAGATCAACATATGGAGCTGAGTTGCCATTATGCCCTACCGCTCAGCATGAGGATCCTCCCAGCATCCCATTGGTCAGCCTTAATCCACCGAGTCACGCAGTCGTGACAATGTTTCAGAGCCAAAATGAGGGCCCAAGAAATTACACATTTATTTACCTTTTTTAATTCAATATTTGAGACAATTTGAATGACTAGATAATTAGTCAAATAATAATAATACAAATTCTACTACTTGATTAGTAAGGTCAGTTAGTCCTGGAAACATTCTTGTAAATATCTTAAAATTCGACCCCTATAAACCGCTTTAGTTTATCGATTCAGCCACAGACATTCAGAACTATGTCTTTGGCTGTTATGTCATGATTTGCACTGTTTTTATGAGTGTTGTATTTTTAAGATGACAAATTACAAATAGTCCAAATTTAAAAAAAATATATGTGAATACCCGCCTAAAAACATTTACACTTTAAAAAACAGGTTACACTTTATTTCGATAGTCCACTTTAGACATTCTATTAACTATAAGTAACTTTGTAACTACATGTCAACTACATGTCAACTAATTCTCATTAATTTGCAGCTACATGTCTACTAACTCTCAGAGTAGACTTAGGGTAGGTTTAGGGTTAGTAGAATAAGTTGACAAAGTGTTAGCAGATATTAAGCAGACAGTCTACTAATACTCTACTAACTGCTAGTTGACATGTAGTTGCAAAGTTACTTACTGTTAGTAGAATGTCTAAAGTGGACTATCGAAATAAAGTGTTACCAAAAAACATATTGAGATAAGAAACCTCAAACCAGCCGAATTATTCTGGAATAAAAGTATGTACACATTAGTGAATTTTCGGCAAAACCTTAATCTTGTCTATCAAGAGAATATTGTCTATCAACAGTGTAGTGATGTATGAAACTCAGCTTACACAGAAGTCACTTTCAAACAAAGCAGCTTTCTGTTGGCAATCATGGCAAATTCACACGACTAACTGAACCTGATGCGAAATCTGTGTGGGGTAATCATTTGCCCTCATTGCCAAATTCCCAATCGCATATATTCCTATTGAAATGACTGGATTTCGCCAGTGAAAATTCGCCAAACAACAGTAAATATGACCACACTTTAATAGTCAGTTGACAAGCAACCCAACAAGAAATCTGGTGCAGTGTTGAGCCAAACATGAAGAAAACTACAAAGACCTGTAAAAGTGGCTGACCCATCTACAAGACGCCATGCATGCTCCGTTCTAGACCTGCAAGAAGCTAAAATGTCTCTGTAAAGATGGCATATTAGAACCAACCCCAATTTGAATGTGAAAAACATGAAAAAGTGAGTGATGAATATAACCTGATGGTGACTGCAGGGGGAGGTGGGCACACGATTATGTATCAGAGCAAGGTCAGGAGAGAAGCTATCGATCTGTCGGGCTACTGCTGACACAGTTGTTCTCCACGACGGGTGTGCAGGATGGAAAGTGCTTGCTCATTCTGGCTCCCTGAGGCTCACATACAGTCTTTACTCTCATACACGCTACTTCTGCACACACATCAATATCACTTATCCAGACTGGGTAAGGTTGTGCACTGTCACTGCTGGTGCCTTGAAAAATTCAATCCGATAGACAGATTTCTAGATTGCCTTTATTATTACAAGGTATGCTAAGTCTTTAAATGTGGCTGTTGTAACTAATAAATTAAGGAGCAGATTAATCAAAAAACATCAATGGATTATCAGGCATGTCTTGACTAATGTATCTCTGAAGTGAGATCAAACTAGTAATACATCTTAATTCAGGTCCTGCGTTACAGATGTATTTCAAGTTCAAATCAAATCAAAAATAAATAAATAATTTTTCCACTAGTACTACAAAGTGCCTGTCTCAACTATAGGAACAATACATTTGGGGCACATTAAACACAACTACCCCTTTCTACAATGTCTATGCTTGTTTGGTCTTGCTTAATTGTTTGTCTTAGGCTTTAGTCTGTCCGAACACGAGTCAGTTCCCCCCACTGCTTTACTAAGCAAGAGTAGATTGATGTAAAACCGAGCCAGCCACATGAATCTCAACCGTCGAGTGCCCCATTAGCTAATTTGAGAACATTCAGAATTGATGGTCTCCTTAAGTACCAGCTAGCTAAAACTGACTGCATACCATCATTCAGGTCTGTCTCAATTCACAAAATCACTAGGATTAATTACACTAAAACTTTTGCAGTCAGCATGTGCATATGGAACAGCATCCAGGACTCCATAGCCAGCTAAATTTAATTCATGCTGTTTTGCTTGGTTGCTTTTTTGTTATAAAAAAGGATTCAGGAAAAAGGATATCAGCACATGACCTACATCCATAAAAATCAATATACACCAAGAAAATCCTCCATACATCGTCTCAGATTGTTCATGTTAAGTCTGTGTTCATTTTAAAATAAGATTAACAATGAATATGTACATAATGGAATACTAGCTAGCACAATGCTAACTACATACTACATACAATAGGGTGACCATACGTGCCATTTTCCCAGGACGCGTCCTGGCCAGGATTTCTATATTGCCTAAAATATCTAGGTTTTGGCTTTGTTTGCGTGTGCAGACCGATCGTCTGATCGTTTGATGTATGACATCAAAATACCTCGAGAGCATTTTGAAAGCATAATGAACCGTCTGTATGGTATTTTGATTTCATACACTGCCCGGTCTGCACACGCAAACAAAGCCAAAACCTAGATATTTTAGGCAATATAGAAATCCTGGCCAGGACGCGTCCTGGGAAAATGGCACGTATGGTCACCCTAACATACAACTACTGCATAGTGTACATTGTATACGGCCTGCTTTGTTTCAAAATGACTTGAAACAGTACACATTATGCAGCGCTAAATATTTCTAACAGTAGAAAACTAAATTTTTTGGCACATTGATTACCATTTGTATAACCACAGTTTTACTACAAATACCATGGTTAAACTATGGTTAGTGTAGCAAAACCATGGTTAATTTGTGGTTACCATGGTTTAACTATAGTAAGTTTTTTGCTTTTATTTGTAGTAAAACCATGGTTAATTTTCATAAAGGTTAGCACTGGAAATGTAGGATTGAGTGCAATGCATCATGGGAAACCAGTACATATAGCCTAAGTGCAGTATACTTCCCATTTTGGCCAATTTAGTGGATCATTCAGGTGTTTATTGCAGAAATACTATGGTAGTATGCTATTCTGAACACTAAAACGGTGACTTACCCAGCATTCCCTTCTCAGCGTGGGACAAACACATGTCTTTCTCTGCACTGGGTAGCACCAAGGCCACTACAAAGCACTCCACGCTGTCTGCCATTAGCGCCAGACCCAACACCACAAACAGGGTCCACTGGAACTTCCCATGTCCACAGTCCTCCATGATGTCCTCGTATTGTTCAGCAAGCTCCTCCTGATCTGACACGCCATCCGCCATGGTCCTCGCTTTTGCTCTCGCTGCCCTCCGGGCAGCCTTGACCTCATCCGGGTGGGGGATGCCCTGGTACTCCCCTTCATACATTTGATCTTCTTCATCGTGTCCCTCGGTGACATCACTGGCGGCATCTTCCTCCTGTGGAGGGTAGTCAGTCTGATAACCGTAGCCATCCTGTCCTCCCTGTCCATATGTCCCATAGCTGTCTCCATCTCCTTGGTGGTAAATGTTGTTGTGGTAGGGGTCCGCCATGGTTTCAGAGATGTTCTTACCTACACTGCACGTCGGAGCCTATATAGGCATAATCCGTAGCTGTGTTGGTTTGTGCCGCTGTACTTTTGATCTGCTTGAGTGTTTACAGCTAAAGAAATCTCATCAAGGCTCCAATCAAATGGGTCCCTTGAGTTTGACTGTAAGGATGGAGGTTGGTTAGTTCTAATCACCTTTGATTTTCAGAGCTCTCATTGGGCCACATGCTGAGCCTGCAAATGGAAATCAAAACTGAATCAGTTACACTGAACCTTGTTTAAATGCTTCAACATCAAGCATATAAATGAAGGATACATTTGACTTCGGTATACTCATGACACTGGTCTAAAAAACAGACCGCTTAATCAGGCTTTATGAAGCCAAGGACATTGTGGGTGAGTTAATGTCAAAACTGTTATTTACCACACTGGTATGAAAATATATGATTTGGGTTACGAAACGATACTTTGAGAAGCACCCAGGCTTTCTTATCAACCGCTTTGTAAATTGGTCCCTAATTTAAGATGAATAGCACCTATCAAAGAGCTCTGTCGCATTACAGCTGCTGGTTTCACAACTGGTTCTACTGGTTCGAATTTGATGAGATTTTATTTTACAGAAATAAATAATTAAAAAAATTGTAATTTAAATAGAAATGTTGCTTGGGTGTATTGGCAGTAAAAATAAATACAATAAATTAATTAAAAAAATACGTTTGTATGTATGTATGTATGTATTTATTTATTTATTTATTTATTTATTCCTTCCAGATAAAGGACTGTATTGACTGCAAAAAATAAATATGTATCAACTGCAGATGCTATCGACTGATGGATGGATGGATGATAGATAGATAGATAGATAGATAGATAGATAGATAGATAGATAGATAGATAGATAGATAGATAGATAGATAGATAGATAGATAGATAGATAGATAGATGAATAAATACATAAATAATGGAAAAAGGGATGATTTGTTGTGCTTTTAAGCATATTTTACTGAACTGACGTCCTGCTTGTAATGTTACTAGACACTAAATATCAATATTTCTATCAAATAACAAACTGACAGTTATATAGTATTTATTGTATTGTTGTGAGATGTTTTATTGTATGCATATTTATTTATTATTTTGTTTTCCAGCATCATTGGCTATGGCAATAGATAAATAAATAAGCATACGATTAAACATATTAAACAGTCATTAAATTAAAAAGTCATTAAAGTGTGTTAAAACAGGCAGGCAACTATATCTGTAAGTACAATAAATGAAACATGCATTCCATAAACAAAATCAGCCCTTTTTTCTTGTAAAGGATGTCATAGCATGCCGTATTGATGTTCCTTCCTTTGGTTCACACTTTTAAATAGGCTTTGTAAAGCTGTAACCAAATGAGCTCACAAATGAAACCCAGGCCTGTCACAAGACACAGAGACCTCTTCTCATTTATTATCAGTCTCACTCCTCACAATTCTCGCTATCTTTCTGCCTCAAGGAAGGTTTTACGCAATAATTTATTCCCAAGGCTTATTCCCACCAGTCCAAATATTCACATCACCAGCAGACAGACACACTGTGAATTACAATGTAGAAGAGTACTCTACCCCATCATGCATACAGTATGTTAATACTGTCCATCCTATCTGTTATTACCTATAAGACCTGTGGACTCATTATAGGAAATGGTGCTAGCTGAGACACTCATGAATTAGGTGTGCGGGTAATTAGGTTAGTTTAACAAGAACCCTAATTTAAATTTATTTGGTTGGAGCGAGAGGGCACAAGTGGGATCATCCTTTGAATTGCTAATTTTAATAATCGTATAATGAATGGCGAGATCACATGAGCCTGTTCCATATTAATTAGTGCTGATGAAGAAGACGTGAAGATGATGTATGTATAGTCAGACTCATTCATTCACTGATTTGTTTAAATTAATTATTTTTATGGGATTTTTATGGCTTTAATTAGACAGAACAGCAGAGAGGAGAAAGTGAGCGGGAAAGTAATTGGAAACATTGCCAGGAGGCACATGTGTGCTAATCAAGGTGATCTGCAATAACAGGAGAGAGCTAGCCATTAATGTTCCCATTCGTGAGTCTTAAAACCTTCACTAACTATCCTGTGCTGTGATGTAAAAAGTCCATTTTATGTTTATAAGTGTGGTCACAAGCAAAAAATCTACTGTTATTTAATGAATTAGTTCCTGATACAAAAAAGCTTTGTGTTGTATGTTGTGCTAACTGTGTAAACTGTGTTTTAAATGATCTGTCACACATATTATTAAAAATAAGCTATAAATTGTTACATTAAACATTGTTTGTTTGGTTAGCCAACTAGCTTTACTTTCCACTAGGCTATTAAACTGCAACACATAGGCTAGCTGATTAGCAAGCCATCTAAGCATGCCACTAGCCTATTAGGCTGCAAGTTAGCATGTCAATTTAAACATTTTTGGTTTGGTTAGTTGTAACTTTGCATACCACTATTCTATTAACCTGTAAAGCATGCGACTAGCTGAGTAGCAAGCCATCTAAGCATGCAGCTAGCCTAGTAGTCTGCAAGTTAGCATGCTGCTTGCTGATAGCCTACGAGATTAGTTACCAGTGCCACAAAAGGATAACTGGAAATGCTATTTTGATGATCTATGAGGAGATATTGTGAAATGTCATATGTTTTTGAATAGGCATTACACATGCCTACATCTTGGAGATAGGATCTTACAACAGCATCTAGCAACAGGTGCTAACTGGACCCTGCTAAGCAGCCACATCTTGGTGTTTACCTCTGCACAACGGCTCTAACATGCAGGTAGGCATTTTATTATTGCTGAATTCATGCATTTTGCAGCGCAAATCTGACAAATTGCAACACATTAACACCTGCTAGGTTAAGGAGAGATTAAATTCATCATGATGGGAGATACACAACCTGTTGAAAAAAACAGCATATGCTGGTTAGGTATGTTTTGACGCTGGGATGCTGGTTTAAACTGGCCCTTTGCTGGTTTATGTTGGTCCTTTGCTGGTTTAAACTGGTCCTTTACTGGTTTAAGCTGGTCCTTTGCTGGTTTATGCTGGTCCTTTGCTGGTTTATGCTGGTCATGTGCTGGCAAAGGACCAGCATAAACCAGCAAAAGGATCAGCATAAACCAGCAAAGGACCAGCTTAAACCAGCATCCCAGCGTCAAAACATACCTAACCAGCATATGCTGTTTTTTTCAACAGGGCAAACAAAGGTTTAAGAGTAAAACACATTCAGTCTGTGTGAATATTCTTCAGGGTCATCAACAATACAGAGAATATGATTTCCCTCAGGAATTGATCCAAACAAGGTCTATTAGAAAACTGTAGTTGGGGAGAAATCAATCTGCAATCATTTGAGGCAGCGTACTCCTCTCCAAATTCTCATGTCTTGTTAAACATTACTTCCCATCTGTGCATTATATGAGAGGAGCAATTCTGGCACAGCGCTGTGCAAAACTGCTAGAGCTCATTAAATGGCTTTTTATTCAAGATTGATTCACTTTGGTTTTCCCAAAGTTTTTGGTTTTGGTGTCCTGTGTGGACAACAATGAATTTGTTTATTGTCCAGAAGAGGACTGCACTGAAGTAAATGTGCAATTTGGCATTTTCTCAGCTCGCCAGCATCTGCGACTAAGTGGCTCATTCCCTGTTGACTAAGACAAGTGAAGGTCAGAGTTTCCAGATGGGCTTTTCTCAAAAAGAATCAGTTGCAAGTTCATCTGATACCTTTTCCATCAAGCCTGCAGGAGACATTTGGCTCTTTTGCAAACTGATACAAGAGAACATTTCTAGCTGTACTTTCTGAGCAGTAGTTACTATGACAATGGCGATAGTTTCTATGACAATCAAGCGGACTTGAGTGTTAAGGCAATGACTGTTTTGTTATTCAGGCTAAATATAATGTTTAAAAAAGCATACTTGAAGAAACTTGTAATCAATTCTTGTTTGCATTGCATGAACACATTACTTTAAACCTACGGCGAGATCACTGACATCTATAATTTTGCAATAATCTGTAAAATAGCAAATACCTGTATGTCTAAGCCCCCAGTCAGTAAATTCTTACACTGAATTTAAATAAGAAAAAAATTTCACATTTTGTATCTAATTTTCACAAATACAGTAAAACATCTACCAGGTATTCATTTAAAAAGGTAATAATTAAATCCATCCAATTAAAGGAAAAAACCAACAAACAAACAAATAAATAAATAAAATTGGACAACAATGAATTTGTTTATTGTCCAGAAGAGGACTGCACTGAAGTAAATGTGCAATTTGGCATTTTCTCAGCTCGCCAGCATCTGCGACTAAGTGGCTCATTCCCTGTTGACTAAGACAAGTGAAGGTCAGAGTTTCCAGATGGGCTTTTCTCAAAAAGAATCAGTTGCAAGTTCATCTGATACCTTTTCCATCAAGCCTGCAGGAGACATTTGGCTCTTTTGCAAACTGATACAAGAGAACATTTCTAGCTGTACTTTCTGAGCAGTAGTTACTATGACAATGGCGATAGTTTCTATGACAATCAAGCGGACTTGAGTGTTAAGGCAATGACTGTTTTGTTATTCAGGCTAAATATAATGTTTAAAAAAGCATACTTGAAGAAACTTGTAATCAATTCTTGTTTGCATTGCATGAACACATTACTTTAAACCTACGGCGAGATCACTGACATCTATAATTTTGCAATAATCTGTAAAATAGCAAATACCTGTATGTCTAAGCCCCCAGTCAGTAAATTCTTACACTGAATTTAAATAAGAAAAAAATTTCACATTTTGTGTCTAATTTTCACAAATACAGTAAAACATCTACCAGGTATTCATTTAAAAAGGTAATAATTAAATCCATCCAATTAAAGGAAAAAAACCAACCAACAAACAAATAAATAAATAAAATAAATTGTATTTAGTTTAATTTAATAAAACATAAATAAAATAAAATAAATTGTATTTAATTGAATTTAATATGTGTGAACTATTTCTTTAAGCGTGAAGTGTGTCAATCTCTGCACCAGGGCCGCGTTATCCTAATGGGCAACATGGGCTGCAGCCCAGGGCCCTGAACACTAGGGGGCCCCCGAGTCAATTCTCTTTTGCATTTTATATAGGGTTGCCAACCGTTCCAATATTACGGAATCGTCCTGTATTTAAGGCATCAGTTTGTCCCGTATTTGCAGGCATATGCCATATGACCACCTAGAC